GAGCGATGACCGCGCATGCCGCCAACGCCTCGACGCGCGCCGTCGCCCGTCGCAGAGATCGACCTGCATGCAGTGCAGGAAGCCAGCCACCGCACAGGCAGCTTTTTAGACCACAAAGCTAAAGCTAGCGGCAGAGCTCAAAGCCGCCCTAGCTTTCAGCCAATCTAGCTACTCGGTGTACGTACACGTCTCAGCTACTATATATACAGTACTACGTACGTATACCTACATCTCCGATCTGCAGCTACGTCGCGTCGGGATCGGTCCCGGCTAGACTGTGAAACGCGCGTACGTACGTCGGCGGCGGCGTCGATCTGATCCGCCTACTCGCGCGCACCCGTCGATCGGTCCCGACACGATGCACTCTCGCTGCATCGTGGATATATTCTCACTAGTACTCACATACTGTATCACGGATCAAAATTTGAGTTTATTCCAGTTCAATGATTTACCATTAATTTCGTTTCCCTTTGTTAATTATATGTCACTGACTTTGTTATTTTTTTCTACAATATTTTATTAGGGATGGATACTTTTTAAAAAATGCCTAAAAATGCTTTTCAAGGCTTATAAGAGGTTATAATTGATTGGCTTACTAGAAGTTTCAAAAAATAATATGAAAATTTTTATGTATCCTCCTTGCATAATATACAAAAGTGTGTGTAAATTTCAAGATTTCCATTTTGCACATATTAATTTTCAAAAAATAATTTATGTTTTATATGCCAATAGAATAATTTATGTGTTATATGCCAATAGAATCACCTGCCATATATTTTTTTTTCTGATGCGGCTATCTTTTGTGTACTCTCTCGGTAAAAAAAAAACAATATGTGACCCCTCCTAGTACAATGAATCTAGATCAGACTCGTTGTACTAGGAGGGGTCGCATCCCTCTAGATTGGGTTTTTTTTTTACGGATGGAGTATGCGATTTCTCTTTCATATTCTACATAATAAAAGTGTTTCATAAAAAAACATGAAAGAAATAAAATACACATACAAACTTCTATATTTTGTAGGAAGGCTAAGTACAAAAAACTTATATTTTTCTGAAACTTCCATGGGGTTAAACAATTGTCAACTCTGGTATGACATGAAAGGTTTTTTTTGAAAAGTATCCACCTTAATAGCATAATGTAAAAAAGGATAAAATCAGTGGCATATTATAGAGCCATAGAGGAGATAAAGTCGATAGCAAATCGTTGAAGTAGAGTAAACTCAGTGACATAAAATAAATTCGATATGATATCGTGTTTACACCCATCACCGACGACTTGTCATCTTTAATTAAGAAGCTAAGGTGGTGTTTGGATACAGGGACTAATTCACATCGGATGTTTAGGCACTAATTTGAAATATTAAATATAGACTAATAATAAAACTAATTGTATAAATGAGAATTAATTTGCGAGACAAATTTTTAAGCCTAATTAATCCATAATTAGCACATGTTTACTTAGCATCACGTAGTTTAATCATGGATTAATTAGGCTCAATAGATTCGTCTCGCGAATTAGTCCAGAGTTATGGAATGGGTTTTATCATTAGTCTATATTTAATACTCTAAATTAATGTTCAAACATTCGATATGATAGTCCCTGCATCCAAAGAGGGCCTAAATTTACGGTGCGACACATCTCATCTGTAACTGTTCTACCCAATTGCAAAGCTCGACCAATGAGCTGGTGACCACATAACCAGCCACAGGTAGAGTAGATCGATCGTTATAAACGACCGTCAGGAAAAAAAAAACATAATTAAGAATCTACAGAGAGAAGAGGAGATCGATCGAAGAAACTCAACAACGCTACTATGACAAGGTTACAGGCTTACAGCGTCGCGCACTGTAGAGGCCGGGCAGGGGGCGTACGTGTACACATGCATGACATGACTGCCTGCCCGCCACTACAAACAATGTCTCGCAATCTCTCAAAGAACGTGGCGCCACTGTACGCAGTACATCACCCCCCAGCAAAATGTACAATCCGACTGTTCACGCTCACCATATATATGCACCGTACGTACGTATAGTACGCGTATCTAGCTCGTGTATATGTTCAATTGAACCTTTAGCTAATTAATGGATCCTAATCTCGAGAGAATGCATGGCCTCACATGCATGTATATATCTCATGTTATATATTTGAATAGTAGCTAGAAATCCCTTTAAAGATAGTTAGAAAACAAGAACACATGAGACTATCGATAGATCATGCTCATATATTTAGAGTAATATTTTTTTTACAACTTATAGAAGGGTAAATTTGAACTTATATGTTTATAGAGTGATACGTTACACATTAATCTATGCATGATACAAAGAGAAACGAGGAGACATTAATTAATTCTCTCGATAGGGAGGGATTAAGAGAGTATTAATAGTACACCTGCTTTTTATACTGTGTTCATTGTTGGCTTTTAATTCGTACTACGTACTACCACCAATCTCCAATACACCGTACGTGTTTTGATCTGCAAATTCTGCAGCAAACAGTTGAGGCCACTACCTCTCGAGGTGATCGATCGATCGATCGCCTTTTAGGCTGACTAAAAGCGATCTTTCCAAAGCAGAAAACGTGGAGATTAGCCTCCGAGTCAAAAGGGAACACAGGTACTAGCAGCTGCTTTTTTTCTCTTGACTTAGAAGTGAGAGAACACTTTGTGTTATCAACAAAAAGTTCCTTTTTGAAATTAAGATCATTAAACAAAGTTTCCTTTTGAAATATTATCATTAAACAAAGTTTTCTTACATTAACCTCAAGAGCATTGTCAAACTACCATAGCAGGCAGCCACAGGACAAGACAGCGTGCTTGAATTCTGCTTCGAGAAATAGTGAAAAAGCTATTGCTAGCTAGCACACCGTTGGTCACTCACTTGAATTGTGTACCTCGAGCTGATTTGATTTGATTTGCAATGCTGAAAATAGGGACATTTGAATGGTCAGGCTTCATCTGAAATGGCAAATGTGTCATAGTCCGTAGGCGCGCATGTATGCTTCTAGCAAGACAACATGCAGTGTCATGTCACCGAGTTAATTCGTTTGGAACATGGTCAGTAGGAAAATAATACTATTAGTGTTAGGTGTAATTTAAACCATATATGCACACAAGTACAACTCAGTGCTGCCAAGACAATGTAGAAAAGTAGTTAATTAGCTTCCCAAATGTCATTGTGAATAATATGGAGTACCCCCACACGCAAAGCTAGTACTGCAAAGGCATGTCATGGCATGGCATTCAGGTCGCTTGGCTGGTGTCCCTTGTAATAGTATCGCTAAAGTCCTAAGCAGAAAGCAACAAGTTCGACTTTGGTGCAGTGACATATCCTGTCCTTAATTAATCAATTAATTGAAACACCGCCCCACAAACCTAATCCCACAGCCATTTAACTAAACTTAATTCCCTCGAGCAAACAGGGCACATCCAATCCAAGAGCATGATCTGGACAATGCGCCAAGGCCACCCACCTTTTCCCAAGTTCAAACGCAAATAGACCTAGAGTATATTTGCATCCTATAGTTAGCCTCAACCTTTTCCACACACTCTTCTGAATGTCCTTGGAGAAAGATGCACAGCACCTGCTCCAAGGTGAAATTCCAACGTCTTACTACTACTAATACTCCTAGCTATACTTAAGTAAACTCAAATCATGTACTAGTACACGTACTCCTACTTGTACTTGTACTGGAGCACTACTAGTATACAAGTTGTACTAGTAGTTGTACCTTTGCTTGTGTTAGACTGAACACACCTGGTGATTTGATTTGGAAACCTGGATTTGTAGGTGAGAGAGGTGAAAGGCTATGCAGGAGGAGAGAGATAGTAGAGAGCAGAGCAGAGCAGCAAATGCAAAGGCTCAAATCCCAAGCTAGTGATGTGAGCATAGAAAGGCATACTCTATTGCCATCTTCCATTCCCTTTTCCCTTTGACCTGTTGTGCCGGCAAAGGCATCTGTTCTTTTGAGGAGATTGATGTAATGATACTTCATGTATTACCAGTACAAGTACTGCCTCCAATACATGTACTCCCTCCGTCCTATAATATAAGGGATTTTGAGTTTTTATTTGTACGGTTTGACTACTCGTCTTGTTTAAAAAAATTTGGAATTATTATTTATTTATTTTTGACTTTGTTATCTAAAGTATTTTACACATAACTTTTTGTTTTTTATATTTGCATAAATTTTTTGAATAAGATTAGTGGTCAAACACTATAAGCAAAAATTTAAAATCCTTTATATTATAGGACGGAGGGAGTACAAGTAATGCTCAAAGGAGAATTTATAGTGTCCCGTTTGAAATTTGACCGGGCATGGTTGTCTCTAGATGGATGAATAATGAGCTTGTGATGATATCCTGGGCTGTTTGTTTGGCAGTACATATGTCTCTCTCTTTTTCAGCAGAGCTAGAGTATAAAGTGAGGGTATAGTTGCTTTTTACTCCAATTTAAGTGCCATTTTGACTTGTAGCCGCTTGTCAATATGCATCTGAACTTACCTCAAGTCACTTGAGTTTTGTATTATGCAAACGGAAGACCCTAGCTAGTTTATGATTAAGAGGAAAATGGAGCATGTATGTAACCATATGGTGAACCATGTTACTCTGATGATAAATTACTCTTTTCTCCTGAAAAGGTGCACACTGATCAATTTTCAAATTTAAACTGATCAAAATTCCACCCAATAACTGCCGACACAAATAGGAACAGTACTAGCTCGTATGCATACAATCATGATTTCCAAATGATTGATCCCAAAGTTCAAACGCAGCACAGCTTCTCTCTGGCTACCAAACAAACCACACCTCACTCTCTGGTCAATCCAAATCCCCTTCCAAATCAGATTCTTCCAGTCTTCAAAAAAGAAAAAGAAAAAACTAGCGTGATAAGTCAAAGGTTGGTCAGAACCAAGAACAGTGCAGGTACATCACACACACACACACACACACACACCGCTAGAGGCCAGTGTCCACGGTCCAGTGCATGCATGCATGCCCAAGTGTAATTAATTAAGCTCAAATTAACCCAACTGATCGACCATTATACATGAGAGGCAATTAAATCAACACAAGAGGAGATTAATTAAACTCTGAGAAAGATTAAGTAATGAACACACATGATTACTGCAAGATGGAGTAGTACTCTGGCTAATCTCAGTGATTAATCATCCTGGGACTGAGCTAATTAATTAAACACGGTGATTTTTTTCTCTCTTTTTATTAAGGCTAATAAGCTAGCTAGTAGCTAGCCGCCATGGAGGACGACCCAGATGTCGGAGAAGGCCTGGAGGATGACGGGGTGGTGGCGCGGCGCGTTCAGGGAGAGGTACGACCGGAGCAGCCGCTCCAGCTCCGCCGCGCCGAACAGCTGCCGCCCGACGACCATCTCCACCATGGACGACCGGAAGTCGGCGTACGGGTCCCGCGACCGCTTCACCACGGCGAACCCGCGCCGGACCTGCTCCTCCGCCGCCGACACCACGGGGCGGAACCCGTCCCTGACGCCGCACGTGTCAACGCAGCTGCTCGCCCTCGCCGCGCGGCGCTTGCGCCTTATCTGGTGCCTCGTCGTCGGAGGAGGAGGAGGCGGCGGCGGCGGCGCCGCCTTGGACGATGCGGTGGAGGGGGACTTCTTCTTGGGCTTGTTCCTCTTCTTCTTCTTGGTGTAGAACTCGGAGGAGTCGGAGGAGAAGCTTCGTGAGGAGGAGAAGAATGCCTCGGTTTCCCCCTTCTTGGCGCCGCCGCCGCCGCCGGCAACGACGCGGCCGCCGCGGTCGTCGGCGTCGCTGCTGAAGACGTCGTCGCCGTCGGTGTCGGCGTCGTCGGACGTTGTGAAGCCGTAGGGGTTGGAGAGCAGCCTCCTGGCCTTGTCACTCTTCCCGCAGCCGCCGCCGCCGCCGAGGCTGCCATGGCGGCGGTGGTGGTGGTAGTGGAAGCCCTGAACGTCGCGAGCAGCAGCGGTGGTCATCTCCTTCTCCTTGGCCGCCGCCGCCGCCGCCGCCGCATCCTCCTTCTTCGGCGACGCGTCGACGGAGAACCTCGACGGTGGCAGCGGAGTGCCGCCGCCGCGGCGGTGGAGGCGGTCCAGCGCGGTGGAGAACGACTCGGTGCGGCCGACGAGCGCGGTGGCCGCCGCGTCGCTGTAGTCGCGGCGGGACGACGCCAAGAACGACTCCCTGCCGCAGTAGTCGACCGCCGCCGCCGCGTCCGCGGCGAGCAGCGCCCTGCTGGACGAGCACGCGGACGCCGTCACCACCCCACCCGCCGCCGCCGCCGCCGACGACGATGACGAGGACGTCGACGCGGTGGCGTGGTTGTTGCACGTCGACCGGAGCAGCGCGCCCGGCCGGAACATCCTCGCCAGCCTGTCCCGCAGCCGGCTGCTGCTCCTCCCACCACCACCACCACCACCACGATGATCCATCGCCATTGGCAGCTACCACCAGTAGCTCAGCCAGTCGCACGGCGAGAGGTGGTAGCAGCGGCGGCGAGGCAGTGGCGTTATATATAGCGGGAGACGCCGCGATTTTGAAACGGGGAGGGGGAGGTGTGTACGCGTACGCGCACTGGCTGGGCCGCAGGCAGGCAAGGGGACGTGCGGGGAAAAGGCGGGTCACGTGCTAGCTAGGTGACATTCAACCATTGAGTACGCGTTTGGAGCGGGTACAATAAGATGACATAAACGGGCTATACAAGTTACCACATCAGATTTATGTTTGTGTGGAGGAGAGATAGCAAAAACGGGCTACGGATTTATAGCTAGCTGTAACACGAGGTCCAATAAACCATGTTAATGATGCAGTATATTTCTACAGCTAACTATTATATGAGTGAGCTATTAGATTGACTATAGATGATGATTTAAATTTTGGAGCTAGTAGTGGGCTATATTATTAAACTTGCTCTTAGGAGAGTTTATGTTAGCTGCAGTTTCTTTCAAAATCATAAGATTTTGTAAATAGTTCAGTTTTAACTTTCGTTCAAATTCTAAAAAGATGTGGTTATAGAATCTAGAAAATGAATTAAAATCTAGAAACTAAGAAACCAATCGAGCTTTCTTCAATTATCAGAAGCTGGCTACTCCCTCCATTTTATAATACTATCTCCGTTCTAAAATAAGTGCAGCCGTGGATATCCATACCCAACGTTTGACCGTCCGTCTTATTTAAAAATTTTGTGAAAAAATTAAAAATATTTAGTTACACATAAAGTACTATTCATGTTTTATCATCTAACAACAATAAAAATACTAATCATAAAAATTTTCAAATAAGACGTAACGTTGAACGTGAATAGTACAAAACTACACTTATTTTGGGACGGAGGGATTATAAGGCACAATTATTTTTTCAGATGTCGGTGATATGGGCCCGGGGGTATGCTAAGTATGGGGGAGTCACCTTCCCATCAAGCCACGCGGCCCTACAGCCTGGCTCTCCCCCCACATCTCGGGCGACGCAGAGGCAACCAAGGGGCCTCGGGGTGCTACGTCACGCCCCTCGGGCCCTCGCGCTGCCTCGCCCCGAGGCCCTCGCCCAACCGCTACGTGGCGAGGGGAGCGAGTGGGACGGAGACTCAGGCTGAGCTGCCATCAATGCGCGGCGCCCCAACCGTCCCTCACTGCATCTAATGCGACAAGGGCGTACGTGCGGCACTGCATGATTGACCCACGTCAATCAGGCGGGACCAAACTGTGACCGGCCTGTCGCCGGTCACGTCTGATTGGACGGGCGGTGATACCCCCACGTTCCACCCTGTACCCGGCGGAGTAGGGGTAGGTATGCCCCGTCCCATCGAATCATCATCTAAAGCCCCCTCCACGTGAGAAGGACTGCCACAAGTCTCCATTCATTTAAGAGGGAATGACAAGGGTGTCCCCCGTGTCGGCGGGGGGCGGCGCTGGGCCCCACTCGAGGACGGACGGCTGCTTAGCTTCCAGGCGAAGGCACGAATCGTGATCCGGTCTAAGCGGAGTGGGTCCCCCTCCCGTGGAGGAGTAGGTAGAGGCGGTGCGTGTGGTATCCCCTTAGACTATAAAAGGAGGACTTTGCCCGCCGAGAAAAAGGATGACGCTCAGTGAGCCTAAACCCTAGAGGAAGAAGAGCGAGTGTGCTCCTTGGTGTTTAGGAACCTTTGTAACACTCAATCATAAATCCCACGCACAGGAGTAGGGTATTACGCTCCAAGCGGCCCGAACCTGTATAATCTTGGCTCCCATGCGCGGTCTCGGAGAACTCGAAGCGGATACTCGATCTCGATCAGCGTGCCCTTTCCCCCGGCCGAACTCACAAAAGGGGATCTCTCGATCACCCGCTAGAGAGGCTCATTTCTCGACAAGATGTTTCATAATATAAGGACTGCATGTATGCATGCAATTAATTAGCACCTCCTCTCCACTAAACTATTCTTTTTCTAAATCCTTCACCGTAGAGATCTTTAATTCTATTATATGTATTATATTTATTAGGGTGATCCAAACTAAAAGATGATAATAATTGTTTTTTAATTTTTAGGTTAAAGGTGGTTGTATCTTATATTTTGAAATGGAGGTAGTACTAAATACTACCTCCGTTCTAGAACGACCACATTTTTGCATTGTTTATGTTCAATGTTTGACCATTTATCTTATTTGAAAAAAAATAATGATTATAGTACTTTCTTATTGTTATTAGATGATAAAACATAAATAGTACTTTATGCGTGACTAAATTTTTAACTTTTTAATACTTTTTTAAAATAAGATGGATAGTCAAACATTTAACATAGAAATCCACAACAACATTTAAATTGGGACAGAGGTAGTACCTGCTTCTTAAAATTCTATTTTTAAGCTATTCAAACAAGACGTGAACTTGAACCGTAGCCGTGCATGCATTGTGTACGGATAAGCAGCGAGCAGGTGACACAGCGTAATTTCAGCCTGTGACTCTGCGACTATTAGTAATAGTTTTTGGTTGCATATTAGCGTATGGATTCTCTCGCCCTGACTGAGATTTTCATCACCCTGACAAAAACGGGGCCGTTAATCACAAAGCCATCGATGGATCGATATACTGCACGTGAAGGGGGGCGAGGAGAAGAGGAGACACAGCACGAGGCTGCAGGCGGCAGCAGGGGATTTTTGCATTGCATAACGAAAACACGAGGCTGCACACACACAACGCTACTCTGATCCCCACCATCCTCTCGACGCCCTTCTCTCTGCTTCTCCTTCCGTCCTGCCTCCATCCCTACACACTACAGATCGCTGGCTCGATCGGCTTGCGTCGCAGAGACCAGAAGGGATAAGCTAATTAAGGATAGCCACTGCAACAGATCTGCAACGCGCCGATGCACCATGCATGCGTCTCGCAACCGCGCAGGAGGGCCCCCCGTACGTACGTCTTCTTCGCACCTCCGTCCCATAAAAACGAATTTGATATGTATCCTATTAATATGAATCAAGATAGATGGATATCCAAATTTATATTACTAGGATATGATATATATGTCTTATCCGATAATATGTTGGTTTTTTATGAGAGAAAAAAAAGTAGGACTCTGCATCGTCTATATGGTCCCCCGGCCGTCTTCTTCTTCTTCCTGATCGATCGGTTGATCATCTCATCTAGGTTGCCAGAAATATGTAGGAGTAGGTTTGAGCAGGCAAACAGTGAAGTTTTAAACAGTGAAGTTTTAGGGTAAACACAGCCTCTATAACTAGGAGCATGTTGCTAGTGCTAGCTGGAGGAGCCGTATACTCCACCATTCAATGCATCGTTTGCATCAGGCATACTGGCATAGTAGTACATTCGTGGTAGCTTCCTGCAGCTGCGTCGGGCGTAAATGGAGTACTAGGAGCTATAGCTGCCTTTTGTTCGCAATGCTAGCAGTAGAATCTAACAAAAAGTCTCGATCACATTGCGAGGGAGAGACGGAGAGTACTGTACTATGTTACCTCAGTCACATACCGGAGTGTACTCGCATCACATGGCTGGCAGGCAGGCAAATCGCATGCCTTGATCATGAGTTTCAGTTATTATTAGCAGCATCTTGTTAATTATAGTAGATGTAGGAGTAGCAGTACTAATTAGTTTCAGTAGCATATGCAATGATAGAGGGTGTTTAGATCCAGGGGTGTAAAGTTTTAGCATGTCACATCGGATATTATATAGGGTATCGTATGGGGTATTCGGGCACTAATAAAAAACTAATTACAGAATCCGTCAGTAAACCGCGAGACGGATTTTTTAAGCCTAATTAATCCATCATTAGCAAATGTTTACTGTAGCAACACATTGTCAAATCATGGAGCAATTAGGCTTAAAAGATTCGTCTCGTAAATTAGTCGCAATCTATGCAATTAGTTATTTTTTAAGCCTATATTTAATATTTCTTATAGGTGTTAAACGTTCGATGTGATATGCCGACAAAATTTAAGGTGTGATCTAATTAAACAGGGCCATAGTTGAGGCTTTGTATACGAGTAGGAGGAGGAGAGAGTACAGTAGGAATGAACAGTAGTGGTACAGTACGACGAAGCACACAAAACGATGTGCAGACATGCGTGGTCTCCTCCTCTGATACACATTCCATCCACACCGGTGTGCATGGATCGATCGATCGCCATGAATGCTGCGCTCAGATCCGAAGGAACCGGGGTCAGTATTTTTTATATTGCGTCTCGCGCCGCAGGGTAGGGGGAGAGTACTCTACCCAACGGTGGCATCTTCTTCTCTTCTGTGTGCTACTAGGCAGCTAGCCAATGCAACATTTGAAATGGATGGCCTCATTATTTCGCCTGGCAAAGAGGATGTTTCCAACGCCCTCCCCTCTGCATCCACCACCTTCCCTTTACTCCCTCTGCAGCTTCTGAATTCTGATGCTTTCAGCCAAAGAACGCATCTCACAATCCACAAATACATACTCCTATATATACCCTGCATTTATAAAATCATATACTCCTATTTTTCTAGTACATACTCTCTCGGTCCCAAAAAAAACCCAACCTAGAAGAAGATATGACTCCTCTTAGTACAATTAATCTAGATAACTAGGAGAGGTTAAATCCCATCCTAGATTAGTTTTTTTTCGGGAGGGAGCGAGTATATACTATCTCTGATCTATATATCAAGAAGAACAAGAATATTACGTAATCCTTCCGTTTTTCAGAATGTCAGATGTTTTGGTTTTAATCTAAGTCGAAAACTTCTTCAAAATATATTATAAGAATGTAAACTTGGTCAAACAAAGCAAAAACACCATATATTATGAAACGAACGGAGTAGTTAAACCATTGACACAATAACCGACTCTCGGAAGTGATTTTTTTTCTTGACTCAGTAAAATCCAGCAGTATGAATGCGTTTTTTCGGATCCTTATTTTGCTACCAAAACATGCCGATAAGGAGATGAACCAAACCAACCATGAAAAAAGTGTATCTTTGTATAAATTGCAGTGTATGGTGCATAAATTTGATACTCCTATGCATTGAGCATCAATCATAGACGCTGCATTCAACAACTCTCCCATGTAGG